GAATTATGAGAGAGCCCACTCCCTTGGTTGAAAAGCAACCCCACACATGGGTGGTCTCAGGATGCTTCACTGTTGGCACGTCACAGGGCTCATGGTAGCGTTCACCTTTTCTTCTCCGAACAATCGATTTTCAAGATGTCCCAAACAGTCGGAGGGGAGCTTCATCAGAGAAAATAACTTTGCACCAGTCCTCTGCTTTCCAATCCTTATACTTCCTGCAGAATTTCAGTCTCTCCTTGACGTTTTTCTTGGAGAGATGTGGCTTCTTTGTTGCTCTTCTTGACACCAGGCCGTTGTCCAAAAGTCTTGACCTCACTGCGCGTGCAGATGCACTCACACCACCCTGCCATTACTGAGCAAGCTCTGCACCGCTGGTGACACGATTCCGTAGCTGACTCCTCAGGAGGAGACGGTCCTGGCACTTGCTAGACACTCTGGGACGTCCTGAAGACTTCAGTAGCCCCTCACCGCAGAACAAAGATCCAGGGGAACGGAGCGCTTGCTTGTGCGGTTAGAGCGACTGAGCGGAGCGCGCGTACATAGAGCGGAGAACGGAGCGGAGCGCTTCGCTCACATGCTCTGATTTTGCGGCAGCGGTTGTATCGTTTCATCGTATCGTGTTTGTATGGGGAGAGAGAGCAAGCACAAAAAAAACTTTGAAAACCCCTGCTTTATTTCACTTCGTTTTTGGTCTGGTTTGACCAGCTAACAGTGTAATTTGTGACCCATACGTGAACAGGACCAGAAACAAAGATCCAGGGGGCAGGGTTGGATCCACATCTAGGGGGTGAAGATGGTAGTTTAGGGGTGGAGATGGGTAGGTTTAGGGGTGGAGATGGGTACCCCGAATGTTTAGCCCTAGCGACGCCCCTGGGTTTAATAATACAATATTATGATAATATAATATTGTAATGTCCTCTGGCTCACCTGTTATCCAGCAAACTCCAATAGTGACTGTGTCTGTCTAATATTTCTCCTATTATTCGTGGGTATTCAGCTTCGGGCGCATGCATTTATGCAGGCCGTTGGATTTCTTTCACACCAGACTATAACCAGAGATGTTCTTATCATAGGATATACCAACCTCCATGCCTTAATCACTGAATAAAATGCTAAGTTAAACTCACATGTGCCTTGCTAACACATTAAATCACAATATAGCCCTTTAATGCACTGACTGCCATGCTGTCAAACTCTGAGCAATTCAATCAGTGTTTGAGGACACCATAGAAACGACGTCCAACCTGGCACAAAATAGTCTGTGACTTCTCTTATGAAATAGCATTTCTTTTATTGTACACTACGAAATTAGACCAATCCAAAATAAATGTTAAATTGCAAACATGTGCCGCCACTGAAATGCACTCAAAAAAAAAAGGATGCATGAATGCATTTTTTTTTCAATGACAAAAGGTAATAAAGTGTGAAAACAGGTTAGAAACTTTTTTAACATCCTTTATTAAGTTCAAGCAGACATTTAAAGGAATAGTTCACCTAAAAATAACAAATCAGTCATAATTATCGCACCCTCATGTTGTTCCAAATATCAATTTGTTTCTTCAATGAAACTCAAAAGGAGAAGTTTAGAAGAATGCTGATGCTAGTACACCCTTTTTTATAAATGAATTGTGACTATGGACTTTTGCATTCAACTAAAGAGAAAGATCATAGGTGTGGAATGAGAACTATTCTTTAACTAGGAAAACTTAAAAAAATTATATTTAATTAAATAAAATCACAAAATCACATATCTGAAAACTGTAATCAACATGATTTTCAGACAAAGTCTGAAAAGTGTGTGTATTAATTATGTGTTTGTTGAGAGCCAATTATGTGTTTGTGGAGAGCCACTGTATCACGTCACAGATTTCTTCTTTAACCTCCTACTGCAATACGTGGCATTCTGTAAGTCTGTCTCAACACAATTTCACACGCTGCAGAAGCCAGATCTCAAACCAAATAAGGCAGCCTCACACTTCAGGTAACACTCTTTTCCTTGAATAACATTCATTTTTATGCGTAGCAAGATAGTACTGACATGAGTATCAAAGACCATGTTTTCCTGCACAATGCTTAATTGCACTGATATTTGCACAATATGTGAAAACATTTTTGTTAGATACCACAGATGAAAATGATTTTTGCAAGTGATATTGTAAGACCTTTGAAATTGAAAAAAGGTGCTTCTTGCTCAACTTTCCACTCAGAAAGGTTGGAGAATTGTGTCACAGGTAACGTCCGAAGCTACATTGAAAATCTGGCTTTCAAAATCTAATTTAAATCTTGAAATTAGCAGTAAAAACATTTGAATGTTTTTGTAGCTCAGCTGGTGGAGCATGACAACAACAATGCAAGGTTGTGGGTTCAATTCCCAGAGAACGCACATACTGGCAAAACATGCAGTGGAAGTTGCTTTAGATAAATGTGTCTGACAAATGTATAATTGTTAATAAATATTGATGTAAACAGGAATGTTTAAGGTTCTGCACTATTTCTAAGACATCAAATAAGTAAAGTTGTGACATTGATATTTACAGATGGTCAGATTGAATCCCAAGATGCTCTCATTCTCAAACCATGCTGGGCAAATGAAATGAATCATGACATTTTCTATACTTGTGGAACATTAATTTTTAACTTCTCCCTTCAGCATTTTGTTTATAGTATAATTTGAAATGAAAACCAATTAAAAAAGGCAGATAACTTTTTTCCTTTAAAGCACTCACTGCAAATTTTTATTTCTCCGATTAAAAAATAACAATGGAGGAGTTATAGTTGGCAGGCATCAAAGATCCCCGGTTAGGTACGCATCGCATATTTGGCGTGCTCTCCTTTGCGTCAAAGAATAGACTGCCAGGCACTTAGCAGAGCTTATCTCTCACCCATTAGTTCCTCGAAAAAAAACAACCAAAAAAAAAAAACTCAATAAACAGTGAAAATGTTCCTTTCTCTTTTCCCCACGGCACCCCCTACGGCAAGTGCTGTTGCTGATAGCAGGGGAAACCAAATGAAAAGATACAAACAAACTGTAATGACATAGTAAAATCATCAGTTTGTCCCTTGAAAATGACAACAATCAAAATTTAATGGCATCCTGTCTACAGTTTAATGGCGTCCCGTGTGGCCTTTGGTCTCCTCCTGAGACCAGGGTCTGAATAATAAGAATCTCTCTCTCTCTTTCTCTCTCTCTCTTGCTCTCGTTCTCTCTCTAAAAAGGATCCTAGAGGGCAGGGCCTAAAGTTTGAGTGCCCTCTCTCCCCATGTGCACATTTCCTCTACCTCTTATGCTCAGATGATGAGTGCCTCTTACTGAAGACCAACGGACTGTGAGGAACCTGCAAGCAGAACTCTACAGTATCTGGATCCAAGGTGCTACCTCTGTTCTTCTCGCTCTCTCCTCCATTCCTCTCTCATTCCTTCTCATCGAGAGGAGGTGCCAGCCAAACCTGAGGACCGTCGGACCCCGAGAGGGACACGGTAGTGAGAGGTAACCATGACAAACCCATGTACGGTGTTTCTGGAACTGCTTGGGATGCTGATCGGGATGGGCGGCTGGTTTTGTTCGTTGGCGGCCACCATCATGCCTCAATGGTTGTCACTTTCTACTGAACTAATGGGCATGGAGAGCTACGAACAAGGGCTTTGGGAGGCTTGCGTGATCCAGGAGGTTGCTGGCATGGAGTGTCGCCCCTATGATACTATCCTAGGCCTCGAACCCAAGTTTATGCTGGCCCGTGTTCTGATGTGCGTTTCGGATGCCACATGTCTTCTCGGACTTCTCCTCGCCATCCCTGCCATGAGTCAGATCAACTGCTGTAAGAGTGAGGAGGGATGGAGGACGAAGCGAGGTTTGAAGATCACGGCTGGTGTGTTTGTATGCATCGCTGGATTGTTTGTGCTCTTTCCCGTCTCCTACGTCGCTCACGATATTGTTATTAAGTTCTTTGATGAGACCATACCTCACGTGGTGCCACGTTCAGAGTTTGGGGATGCGCTGTTCATCGGCTGGGCTGCAGGACTTCTTGACATTGTGGCAGCTGTGTTGTTTTTCGCCTCTTGCTCTGACTCAAGAGACAGTGAACCACATCTGGTGCATCACTATCAAAGGCAGGAGATCAGAACTATTGATGGTTCGAGAAAACGCACTGAGTATGTTTGAGGGACATTTGTTGTGTAATGCCTATTAGTGTTGATGGAGCAGGAAAAAAACTTTTGGATAATATCTTCTGGAAAATGTTTATACTTACATTCAGTGTATCCATCAATCAAACTCTTGAAACAGGTAAAGCATTGTTATGATGGATTTATCCTTTAAAGTGCCCCAATTATGGATTTTTGAAAATTATCTTTCATGCAGTGTGTAACACAGTTCGAAGTGAATGAAAACATCCTGCAGAGTTTTCATTCACAAAGTTATTGTCTCTCAAAAGAAAGAGTCGACTCAGAATCATTTAAACGAGTTGTTTTTAAAACTAATCCCAAGCCGTTTTGTGTTGACATCAACATGAAACATTAGCATATTGCCCGCCCACTTGTTGGTCTTTTTAAGTTGGTCTGAATGAAAATGTTAATTCATTCTTTGCCACTAGATGCAGCTTTTGGAGCGGTAAAAAATAGCGGTTTCCCCGGTAATGCTGTACACAAAGCAGCACTGCGCTCACAAACGCTGCTTTATCAGGCATTACAGGCATGATGAAATGGAAATGAGACCAATCGGACCAATCACCGCAGACTAGTGTCACGCAAGGGAGGGGTTTGGAAAAATGAATAGTTGAGTGAATCGTTTGGGAGTCCTTGAGCAAGTAAGGTAAAAAATAAATGCATATTATAAGACAATGAAAGTGTTTTTTGGCCTGGCATGCATGTCAACCTGTTGTTGGGGACTCCCAAAACCAAAATATGAACCTTTCATTACCCATAATAGGAGCACTTTATTACTAATATCTGAGTAGTCTATTTGATTATTTGCATTATCAGTAATCTATTAATATTGAAAAGTTGCCAATACATTTTCAGTTGCTTTAATAGAGATGTAGTGATTGAAAAAAAAAGACAACAGTAATTTTTTTTCTTGGCATTTTGTGGAATTTTGATCACAGATTTTGTATGCTTTAATATAAGTATTATATAACTAGAAAAGCGTAAAGGTAAGATTTTAGTCTTTATTTTGTGTGCATTTGTACACTGTACATCTAGTGCTCAATGCCACCTGCAAAAGTACTTCTCAATATGAAGGATGTATCCTGGCAAGTCTCCATATCTCGGCTGGCATATCATCAGGCCACAAATGATTTTAAAAGAGGAAGACATCATGTTTTCTTTTGTTTTGTTGTAAACGTATCACATAATGCTAAACTATGCATAGTGTTAACCACTGGAAGATTGGAGATGCTTGTCATTACATGTACTGCATTAATAGAAAGTCAGGTAATATAAAGATTTTAATACAAAGTATTCTTCAAATTATAATTATTATATGTGTCTCATACTAGCGTTTAAATTCTGAGCAGGACTGTAAAACTGAAGCCTCGGAAGGCTGAAGGACTTAGGATGCAGCCTTCCGTTTGAGAAACAGCCATTCTTTGGAGATCTTTGTTTGCAATCAGCACCTGGAAATCAGCTGGTACTAATCCAGAATACTGTCTAATTTAGTAAGAAATAAAAGATGCTTATTTACACATATTTTATTATGCACTATATGGAGAAATTGTATAATTTACAGTGAAAAACATTGAGTAATTTTTTTTTTTTTACTTTTAAGCAATGATTACTTTGAAATGTGTTCTTATTTGAGATAGTTTATTATTGTACTTTATTTTACTAGTGTTACAGTTGTCAGGCTTTATTATTTTATTATAAGTCTATAATAATACAGCGACACTACCAGTCAAAACAGTAAGATTTTTTATGTTTTTAAAGAATTCTCTTCTGCTTACCAAGCCTGCATTTATTTGACCCAAAATACATCAAAAGCAGTAATATTGTGATTTTGTTTTACTATTTAAAATAGCTGCTTCTATTTGAATATATTTTTAAATGTAATTTATTCCTGTGATTTCTACATTTTCAGCATCATTACTCCAGTCTTCAGTGTGACATGATCCTTCAGAAATCATTCTAATATGCTGATTTGCTGTTCAAGAAACATTTGTTATTATTATTATTATTACCAATATTTAAAACAGCTGAGTACATCTTTTCAGGATTCTTTGATGAATAGAAAGATCCAAAATTCCAAAGATCAGCATTTATCTGAAATAAAAAGCTTTTGTAACATAATACACTATACCATTCAAAAGCTTGGAGTCAGTAATTAATACGTTTATTTAGCAAGGATGTTTTAAATTGATCAAAAGTGATGGTAAAGACATTTATAATGTCACAAAAGATTTCCATTTCAGATAAATGCTGTTCTTCTGAACTTTCTATTCATCAAAGAAACCTGACAAAAATATATACTGTTTTCAACATAATAATAATAATAAAAAAAATTTTTTTTAGCAACAAATCAGAATATTAGAATGATTTATGAACGATCACGTGACTGTAGTAATGATGCAAAAAATTCAGCTTTGAAAAAACAGGACTAAATTACATTTTAAAGCATATTCAAATAGAAACCAGTTATTTTAAATAGTAAAATATTTCAAAATTGTACTGTTTTTGCTGTACTTAGGATCAAATAAGTGCAGGCTTGGTGAGCAGAAGAGACTAAACATAAAAAATCTTTTGACTGGTAGTGTACATATAAACGTTACTTAAACCAAAATAAGGCTGGTCAATTTATAGTAGTCTTTGAGTTATGAATGAAAATATAAAAAAATGTCCCATGGTCTCTCCTAGCTCACTTTTTTAAGTGAAATTTTTTAGGTGAAATCAGTAAAAATGCAGTTCTATTGAATTTTATTTTATTGTATTTTATTTTCCTGAAATACTTTTCAAACAAGAGTACAAAAGGGATAAATGGAAGAAAATCAGGTTTGGTGTTCTAGTGTGTTCAGTCAGGTGAGCTAATGGCAATATAAATGCCTGCTTGAGTGTAATTGTCTCTGATGGTCTCCCTATCAGAATGGAGACTAAGCTGTGTTTAATGAAGGCTCTAACGAGCAGCGTGTCCTTTGAGGAATGCCAAACAGTGCCGCCTCCTCCTCTCCATCATTACTCTGATTTGACCAGGTTAGGAGCAGACAGGGGCTTCTTTTCTCCAGAAAACTGCAACAGGTACAGTCCCATCCCAATTAGAGCTTAACCAAATAATCATGAAGATGACCCTGTCTTTGAGAAAACATTCATTAAGATGGAAAAAAGGTAGCTCATACACAGAAAACATACACTTCCACTTGTACATTTCTTTAGGCGTGATGGAAATAGGGTATATGGACAAAACGTTCTCAGACTTGAAGGCGCCACACAGATTGTGCCCTGAACTTCCTGCGATGGATATTGATAGTGAAAATGAAAATGGGCGGTATGTTTAGACTTAGTTGTTTAGCTATTAACGCTCATTTCCAGCTTCTGGTTGGGAGGGGATGTACCCTGGGCTCTCAGAAAGGGGAAATGGTGTGTCTTCGACTCATTAGGAACAATGTCCTAATGCAGCTCACTGTAAACAAGCCAGAGTGAAAGAAGCTGATAAACGAACGCATGAAACTAAATTTTAAACATGCATGATAAACACCATTCACAAACACAGTTTGTGTTTGTTTATATATTATGTATATATATTGTAAATTATGTAATTTCACAATTCTCCTTTTAATATTTTGTTCTTTTGAGAACAATAAGCAAAACAAATATAAATATATTTGCTGCATTATCATTGATCGTTGATCCTTTCAACAAAAAGTAGCCACATCACTCATGAAATAAATGCACAGTAAAATAGGGATACTAAATGTTTTTCAAAACACATCAGCATCAAAAAAGAAAAAGAAAAAACCACAATCCTCTTTATTTAGTTTATTTATTTTTTCATTTATTTCTTCAAAATAATGTGTTCTTTGTTTCTTTATATTTGATTGTAGTTGACATGTATTTCTTAAGTTGTCAACCCTATTAACATAACTCTCCCCCATTTTCAATTAACAAACAAACAAATAAATAAATAAATAATGTATTTTAGGAAACGACTTGTAGCATCATCCCAGGCTTGGAATTGTGTTTCAAGAACTTGCAGTTGCAGCATATTAAAGAGATGGCAAATTGCAATTTATTACGATTTAAACACACTATATGCCTAACATAATCTTTTAAATGTTACAAAACTCTTTAAAATCACTTTATCAAACTGCAAAATGTACCTGTTTCAAAAAAAGATGACTGTTTTTGGCCATACAGTGGCATTATAAGCAGAAGACTATACTGCAGCCATCAGTAAACATATTATATATATATATATATATATA